CTCTAGCTTACTTGCATCTGATCTTAGCAGGCTGATATTATTTTCCAACCTGATCTTCCATTTTAGTGATGGAAAAATCAGCATGCTGACTTTAGCATGTGGATCTTATTTTCAAACCTGGAAAGGAAGAGGGAGGGAGGGAGGAGGGAAGGAGGGAAGGAGGGAAGTGAGAGGGAGAGAGGAAAAGGAAGGAAGGAAGAGAAAGGGAGGGAGCAAGGAAGGAAGGGGGAGAGAGGAAGGAAGTAAGAGGGAGGGAGGGTGGCAAGCAGGCAGGCAGGCAGGCTTCTGCCAGCTTCCCACTAGCAAAGTCAGTAGGGAAGCCAGCAGCAAGTTGCAAGTCGCTCACACTCCCACTGCTTTTTTGTCTTTGGTCATTCTGTTTCTCTGTTTAGGTAAGGAAATATCTCTGAAATGATGACCCAACAGGTCACGGGTTGTCTAGTTATTATTATTTAAATAATAACTTCTGATCTTGGTCTCATTTCCCAAAGAGAGACAGTGTGGTCTAGTGGTTAAGGCTCCAGGCTAGAAAGCAGGAGACCGTGTATTCTAGTCCCGCCTTAGGCAAGAAAGCCGGCTGGGTGACTTTGGGCCAGTCGCTCTCTCTCAGCCCATGATGTCAGGCTGGGTGACAAGTTGGTCGGTCAATTCCTGTCACAACCAATGGATCAATATTTGGTTGATCTGAAAAAAGAAAAGAAAAAAACGGACCCTGCACCTATGGGAAAAATGCTAGGAAGAAAAAAAATGGGGTGGGAACTGCTATCCTTAGAGATACAACTCAAAGCTACTGGACCAGGAGGTGGTGCTACAGAATGTATTTTTCCCCCACCTTTTCCCCAACTATTTGGCAGCAGGCAAAGGGGATGTGAGATCCCTATCTCTCATGCACCAGGATTAGTGGGAGGTCCCCTTATCACACAGGTGATGGCAGTGGTAACTATCAAGTGTCACTTTCCAAGACAGGAAAGTGAGCAAGAGGCTCCTGGGAGAAGTGGTATGACACCTCCAATCTTTCATGCTATGGATTTAGCCCTGCTGCTACAAATATATTTCTAATAATATATTTGGAGATGTCACCTTTTCTGGTGCCTGGAGCAATGAACTATCTAAAAAGGAAGTAGTGCATCATAAACAAAGAAGTATTTCAAGAATGTATGAGCAGAAATCAACACATCCTGATTTTGCTGTTATTCACGACAAGAGAAAGCATTACCAAGTGTTTCTTTAACTTTGGGAAAAGCTTGTTTAGGATTGCTTCGTGGTGAGCTTGGAATCTCTGCAACTTTGGAAATCCAGGGATGAAAAATCCTTTGGTGAAAAGGGGACAAAAATATTAAGAATGAATTAAAGAAATACAGCAGAGCATCTCACATTACTGCATAATAAGAACTTGCATTTCCTAAGACTGCCAAGGAGCTCTAATGTGTTATGAAAATGCATTTTTTATCTTTCCTATCTATTTGTTTCAGAGTTTTGCATGGACAAGATCAGGAATTACTGTATGTGTGTATGTATGTATGTGTGTGCGCACGCGTGCACACGCACACACATATATTAATGACACAATGGCTTCCCAAAGCAGCTTTGCCTAACTTGTCGACTGTATGGAACCCTAATGCATAACAGCTTTTCACTCCCTCAGGCAAACGTGGGAATCACTTTTGTAACTTGCCTGATGTGTAGAGAAAAAGGTATTCTGCATACATCAGAATTTCTATCCCCATTCCTGTAGTTCATGCTTAAAACACAGCCCCTGACTAGTACTACAACATTATGAAGTTACAAAACAGCGTAGAAGTTCAAAGACTAACTGATTTCAAGAAGAGCTTATTTGTACTTCATGCTTAAATTCAGCAGCTATAAATGCATACATAAAGTATAAGAAGACTACGAGAAGCACATAAGAAAAAGGAATCAAAAGTCTTGCAGCCAGGCAGAACCTGAATATGGGGTCATCTAAAATACTGTAAAGAAATGAGCGAATAAATTAAAGATGAGAGTATTTGCCACTGAAACCTTACCATGCATCGCATGCCGCTGGTTGGTAAGCAGCTGTGCCAGCGCCCAAAAGGCATCCTCTTCATTCAAATACATCAGCAAGATAGCTGCAATCTGACTCATGCCCTGGCAGTAACTCACTTCCTGGATGATTACACAAGATGAGCAATTTACAGGGCAGAGTGCATTGCACATACAAGCACAAAATGCAACTTTTCCCTAAGTTCACAAAACATGATAACATTTTATCTCAATTTTTCAGACAAAAGCATGATTTGTTGACTCTCACACAATTTCACCTTGGGGAACAGAGCAAAGCTCACTAATAGACAATGTGCATTGCACAGAAGAGGGCCCAGGAAAGAGGACTTTAAGACATAGGGCCGATTGGTAACTTTGCAGTCTTGATTTAGCTCAGTCAATGGTATGATGCATTTACAAATTCTTGTAAGATTTTTGTACTGAAAATTCTTGTATGGTTTTTATACATCTGTACCAAAGCTAGGAGGATTCCACTTTAGCCATTCAGGGCAACAAGTAACACAGACATGTCTCCACTTCTACTTTTGAGTTGAAGCTCTTCAACCCAGAAGTGTTTCCTCCCTCACCTCTCTGTTCAGCAGCTTGTCAATGCTCTATCAGCTCCTCTTTTACCTTTCTCCTTATTAACAATTATTGCTACCCTAAGAGGTTCCCCAAATTATCTGGGAGGCTCAAAGAATCCTGAATAATTGTATCACATTGTTTTCAGTCCAAAGCACCTTATAAAAGTGTAATTAGAACCAAATACATACAGTAAAAAGAGTGGTCAGAGAAAACACTGTTTCTCCAGCCCATCCCAGGCACTGGCTAGTGTCAGAAGGAAGAGGCCAGATCTTGTGTTTCCTGCAATCTGAGTCTACTGATGTTATATGGAAAGAGCCATTTCAGGATGGTAGAAGGGCTAAAGAGTAGCTGGCTGTTGTCTCCCCTCACCTTTACTACTGGCAAAGTAACAAATGGGTGAATCCTTAAGAGGCCCTGCTTTAAAACACTCCCTTTGGGAAGACAAATATGTTCAAAGGTCTGGAGAGTTTTTGTAACCCCTGGAAAAGAGGAAAAACCTCTTCTCTTTTTCATTGGATAAGAGTTAGGAAAACTTTGGGGAGAGACTTCTTCCAAGTGCTGGGAGAAGGTTGCCAGGAAAGCACCCGGATGTTTGCTTTCCAGCAAGGGACACAGCTAGTTGGGACTTGGGATCTGGGAAGCTAAATCTGAAATTATCCATCCTGGATGTAGAAATTCAGTCTAAAATATTTTGTAAACATTTGACAGCTACACGAGGAAAATAATGCTATATTTAGAACCTAGGGGGAGTCTGCAATATAAAATTAGCCCTAAGACAAAAGCAAACTATTGTCACTTCTCACATTTTCATGAACTGAAATTATGTAACATTATATAGGCACTGCAACATGAAATAAGGAAAAAGCTCAAAAAAGCCATTTTAAATTCTTGTAAAAGGAAGAATCACCATCTTAGGTAAAAAAACTGAAAAAATGTATCTCCTGTTTCTTGGAGCACCTGGATTAATTGTGATGGCACAATGAAGCAGCAAATCCGGTATGTAATTTAAGGACTCTATCTATCTATCTATCTATCTATCTATCTATCTATCTATCTATCTATCTATC